GTCATTCCGTCTGTCTATGTCCCTGTCAACGCACCGTTGCGATGCACGTCAGCTTAGCTTTGGTTTTCGCCTTGATATTTACAAACTGTGCTAAAACTTTTTGTTTACTTACTTACAGACATATCTACATACTATCTACTATTACAACGGTACCTGTGTGCACAGTGGGAGAACTAACAATTACATCAAGTAGTTCTATTCTTTGAAATTCACGCGCCCATATGGTCAAAGGATAATATATATAATATAGGATTATATGATTTACTTTACAGCTTAACTAATAATCATTCTTTTTAAGCAAAAAATTCGACGATTCAATGATTATTTTTTAGTTTTTTTTTTTTATCAAAATTATACCTCAAATTGTAAGGGTCACTGCCTTTTCAGAGGGAATAAGGACAAAATTTATATATTTATGTCCTTAAAAAAATAATCCAGGATTAGTCCCTAAGATTTACTTTACAACTTAACTAATTAATCATTTTTTTGAGGAACAAAATAAAACTCATATAATAATGATTATTCTTAAATTTTTTTTTTTGATCAAAAATAAATCTCAATTTGTAATCGTAACTGCCTTTTCAGAGGGAATAAGCTCAAAATTCATAAATGTCCTTAAACAATAATCCAGGATGAACCCCTATAGTATAGTATTGGGCTAAAAAATACATGTTTAAAACAATTTTCAGGCAAAATTACAGCCTGAGTTTTATATTTGAACAACAAAATAAAACTGAAAGAACAATCATTATTTTATGCGGTTACTCTTACAAACATATCTACATACTTAGTTAATTACTGTAGCAAAATATTAAATCCAACTCTTTATACGTTTGTCCGTCCAGACCTGCAAGGATTTAACAAAATATTGAAGGGTGACAGACTCTTTAAATGTCTAGGCAATACGAGTTCATTTTATTTTTGGACGTAACCCCTCCTTTCTCCACTACAGAGTGTCGTTAATATTATGCAATAAAATCAAATAGAAGCAAATCGATGAAGAAGAACGCCCCTGCAGTTTGTATAATATTGTTTCGTTAACAACTTTTCCCAGAATTTAACGATTTGAAATTTATTTCAATACTGCATTAAATAACTATATAGTCATTTCTTGTAGCTTTTTTGATACTTTCTTACCATAGTGATGCGATGTCGAGTGTGTTTTTATCTAGAATACGAAATGTGCGTGCGTAACTGCAGAAGTTGGTTGGGTTCCGCTGTTTGCAAACCACAATGGCAGTTGCTTTTGCATGTTTACATACTGATGCTGCCGCTTCCTCCCCCTCTACTTCTTTCTCTCTTCTTCATCATCATCATCATCTTGTTCTGCCACTGTTTGTGCATGTACCGTTGCTGCGCCCACAAAAACCACATTTAAAATGCCACACTAAATTACTAAACATGCACAAAAGCGCTCTCGCGGCTTAAGTCTTGTGTTACTCTCTCTCCCTCTCCCTCGCTCTCTGTGCCCCTTCTTACAACTCTCTCCCACTCTCTTTGCGCTGCCATGCCCAAAAAGTGGGCAGCACACAATTTACGCAGCTCCTTGCATTTTTCATTGTTGTTGTTCTTGCCATTGGCAAACTTTTTATGGCCGCAACATACAATGAGCTCTTTGTCGTATTTCTGCCTGCCCGCATACATGTGCATACATACATACGTAATTGAGTATGTGCATGTGAGTGCAAATGAGTGTGTGTGTGTGTGTTTGCGGGTGTTTTAGTGAGGCCTGCGTGTAATGCGCTGCTGGTAAAAACTTTGCCAAATCATTAAGAGGCGCACTAAAATGCAAAAACCAAATGCAGGCGCAACATAAATAAGAGAAATGTACCTTTCATTTAACACATAGTGTTATATACTTTTAATTATAGAAGAAAAAGAAATATATAGTTTTGATAACATTTCAGTGATGGATATAACAATACTATTAATTTTTGGTGCATATCTTATTATTACTCAATAAATTTTACATTGATTGAATGTTTTATCTAAAACATATGCCATCTGATCCAATTGGATCTGGACTGATTTAAAAAAATACTAAATTTTTTATTGATTCTAATAAAAATATTTATTCTTCGAAATAGGCTTCTTCTGAGCAAAAACAAGCATACATCTGTTATAGGCCCTGCATGGAATAAAGAAACTTGAATTTCGGAAAGAGGAAGGTATGAATCTGGCTAATACAATGGCTGAGCAATGCAAATGTTTTGGGGTTTATCCAAAAAGTTAGTCGCAGAGATATTTGTCAGTATTACATACAGGCCTACATAGTTATTATTAGTAATCGTTTCGAGGCTCATTACTGAAGACCAAATGCGTATAATTTTGCTTTTGTTTGCATCGCAATTTTCATTCAAATCTCTGGGAGGTATGGAATGAAATGCTGCTACGTCAATTAATAAGTTCATTGCTGAAGCATATCCATTCAAGATGAACATACATCCATACCCCTTATACCCGTCATCACATAACATGAACTATGTATGTGTGCGTAAGTCCTTTTATGTGTGCACAGTATGTGGCCATAAGCTTACCAGCTTACCAGAGGAAAAGAGGCAAATAACAGTCTGTCAGGTAGTTAGGGGGCTTTTGGCATGGCCAGGACAGTCGCAAATAAACAAGGATTGACTCCGTTCGGAAAAAAGCCAACTCCATTGGATACTTTCGGGTGATAATAAAAGCATCTATGTATGTATATATTTGACAGGTATTATATTGGCAACAATATGTGATTGCTAATATTGAAAATTCCAGTAAATATTATAAGCTTCTTTAATAAAAGATGCAAGAATAGTTGTCAACTGATGCATAGCTGTGAATCATTTAATTAATTTATCAATACTTCATAATAAACACCAATTGGTAATGGGATTGTGATTGTAAAATTGAGATAAAAACTGGTCTCTTTATTTTGTTTATATTTAAAACAAAATATTAACACATGTAGTTAATTTTTTAATTCTTTCTTAATATTGAATGGCATTTCTGTTTTAAAAAAGCTGAATGGAATGGAATGCTAGATTCGCAACATCTTTATTTGGCAAAGAGCGGACAAAAGAAATCGTTTCAAAATGTATAAGAGAAATCGGCTTCTTATACTCTCTCTTGCTTAAAATGATTGATCCAGCTACGCTCTCGCTCTTGTGCCTTTGCGGCTCACTCCACCCAAAAATGTAACTAAATTAGAAAACTGTAATAAACGAAAGGGAGCACCAAAACATATCAAGCCCAACTGTGACGATGCTAAAGAAAGAGACGGCATGCGTTAAAATGCAAATGCACTACTCATACGAGTATGTGTGTATGCATACGTATGTTCATATGTTTAGCAACGTAATAAAACGGTAATTTATTATGATGCGACAAAGTGTGTGTATGTCGCTGCGTAGTAATATGTCATACATGCATATATACATACATACAAAATGTAAATATGCATATGTACATAGAGGGTTACGGATAGTTTTGATCCTTTCTATTAAAAAAAAATTAGCATTTTAATTAAGCTGAGAAGCCTATATTTATGGAAATGGCATTTACAATAATTTCAAAAATAAAGAATGAACATTTAAAACATCTACATATGTATGTATGTATGTACATATGTATATAATTACTACTATTTATATGTAGCACATAAATTGCGCGGCAATTATACGTCCAGCTAAATATATATGCATGTACATACATATGTATGTACTTACATGTATTTACATACATATGTAGATAAAGATGGCAGAATTCAACATTTCTAATAGTTTCTGGCAGCGACGCTCTCAACAGGTTGACTAAAATTAAGCTTTGCTCTTCAGCTGCCAATATGCGCTCTTTGCGAATGCAGAAATGAAAGAAGGAACTAAAAGAATCATAAGTAGCTTCAAATCGTAACTTGGCGTAGCAAGAATCACGGCAAGAGGGACTACATTTTATTTTATGCACATTTTGTCAAATTAAATTATTGCATTGAAGTTATTAAAGTTATTTTGGATTTTTTAAAATTATTTAAATAATTCAACAATTGCAACTAAATGTAATTGAGTATAACGGTTTTATTTAATTATTCGAATGTGTTTATATAATTCTATTTTGTATGTACAATTTTTGTTTTAGTTTTAATTTAGTTAACACATAAATATTTACTACATATACTAGTATACATACATACATACATGCATAAATATATATTCATATATTTAAATATCGTATATTTAAACCCCTTTTGCAGCATAGTATCTACACCCATGCATTTTTGTTTATCAGTTAAGCTAATTTGATTTTCCTTGTTTTTTTTATTTCTTTCCCTTCCCTTTGATCTCGAAAGAGAGCGCGTCTGAGAGCGTGTAAAGGTAGGCTTAGTTTTATTTGAAATGTTGAGCGCGTCGCGTCGTTTTTCGCACAAATATTACTTAGTATATGCTTTAATGCGCAATTAAAATATAATTATAATAATTTCGCTGTAAGTGAGAGTGTTTTTATAAGAATCACATTGTCGCCATAATGTGAACTTTTTTTCGTTTTCTTTTAAGTTATTGTGATTGAAGTGATTTAATGAATGATTTTCAGATTACAATTAAATCGATCTTTCTGTATGGCTGTGTAGGTAAGTTCATAGTTGTTATTTTTTTTTTGCTTTTTTACGTAATTTTTTGCGGACATGTTGTTGAAACGAATTCGTATAAGAGTATAAAATACCGTATAAGATAATGTCGAGTATATTTTCGAGCACTTCTTTTTAGCTTAAAATATTTCCCAACCGGGCTTCAAAGTATTTGAGCTCATGCGAATAAAAAGCGAATATGCAGATAAAATTCCCTTGCCTTCCCTATTACCAATTACTTATATTATAGTTTGGGCTCACTAAAATATTACAATATTGATCTATAAAACTTTTAAAATATTAATCGACTAGAATTAAGATGGAGAGTAAAATATATCGATGATACAGGAGAAGGAGCGGATTTGTATAATTTGGAAAATCTTGTATAGTCAAGAGCATATTTATTTATTTTATTTTATTTATTTATGTCAACAAACATTGACTGTCGACATGATATTAAATTTGTTCAAAAGCAATGCCCTTAGTAAAATTTCTATCATTAATTATGCAAATAGAGGTATGTTTGGGGGCAGCTCTATCTGTATGTAAAGATAAATTGCAGTTGTTCTGATTGTGCTCCGTATTTAAAGTAGATTTAAAACATTGACTAAATTTTTGTTGTGAACTAAAAGTCTTCAAAACTTTGGAAATACTTGATGGAGAACTCGAGAACATTGGTGGGCTTGTAGGTGAGCAAACAGTTGACATAGTCCTGGACTAATTCGTTCAGTTCCGGGTGTCTGGCCAAGTAGCTGGAATTTCTTTCATGGTTTTTCTCCTTCTCCTCTTCAAATCTGGCAATCATGCGTGGGTCCATTCGCCACACGTCCTCCATCATTGGCACGATGTGTTCCTTCGGCTTGGGTCTGACTGGAGCAACAGCGGAGTGCAGCAAATAGTTATAGCCGTGCCAGAAGTGAATTATAATGCGGCCTACCGGCGTCATGTAGGTCTCGGCCACGTCCTGCAGTTCGTCGTTGAAGAACTGCTGAGTGACGATTTTGGTGGCAGACTTGTAGGTGCGATTGAAAATGCACACATCGTGCCGCTCCTTGTGTAGCGTCAGGCAGCAGCGGAGGATGCGACCATAGAGATTCATAGTGAAATAGTTGAACTGACCCACGAAATTGTTGCAAATGAGGTGGCGCATGAGCAGCATGATGCCGCCATCGAGCACAAACACATAATCTTGATTTTTGATGTCGATGATCGCCTTGAACTTCTTACTCTCGTCGTTGATCTTGGTCTCGCGTATGGCCGTCAGCTGCTGATCCGCATGATTGCGCAACTCGAGAATCTTCTCGACCCGCGCATGATCGATGCGATCGTATTCCATGCGCTTCTCACAAATCAACAGAAACTTGTGATCGTATTTGCCCTTCAACTGATGACCGCACTCGGTCAGAGCCTTCCCCTTCCGCATCTTACTGCTGCTGTACACCACAAAGCCGTCGAAGGCCTCCTCCACGTTCAAACAGAACTTGCCAATTTGCTCCAGTTCCTTTTCCAAGAACGCCTTTCTGTCCTCGCTCAGCTTGCAATTGGTGTTTTGCAGCGTGGAGATGAAAAGTTGCTCCTGGAAGACAATGGCCTGCTTTTCAGGCATCAAATGCTTGGCATTGATGTCCCAATTGCATTCGCGGTACTGCTCAGCAGAGGACTCGATGGGACGCAGAATCGCGGATATAATGCTTGACACACTGATCTCATCCTGCGCGCTCAGCTTCTCGGGCACATCACAAGCGGCGAGCGCAGCTACTTTTTTCTTCGGATCTCGGAACTCGTCGAGATCGCAGGGCAGAAAGAGCAGTGGATTAATGGGCTTATAAATTGACCTTTTGTCTGTTAAAAAAAGGGGTCATAAAACATGGTGGAGGTGTGAAGTGAAGTGAAACGAAAACTTACCCATTTTTAGGTGTTTAAGTGAAATTTAAATATAAATATACAAAAAACTACTGCGATGTTCCGTTTGTTGTTGGGTGTTCTGTAAAAAATTTCTTAAATGTGCTAAAATTTATTAACATTTTTATGCATATGACTGCTATTTAAAATGTAGTGACGACAGATCGGGGACTTACTAGAACTGCCCATGCAGCTGCTGTGGCTTGTTGGTCTATACCTTTGAGAATGGTAATTGATGATATTGTTTCTATATACATCTAGAAGGAGTCCTCATCCTTACTAACTGTTTTATTGACAGAAAAAGATATTTGTTGTAAAATCAATCGAAAGTTTGATTATAGGTTAAAAATCATTACTTTATTTCGTTTTCAGCAAACAAAAACATTTAGTAATCATTAATCAACTCTTCTTTGTTTGGTATTCTGGAATGAATTTAATATTTAAGCATTTGATGGAACTTTGGTTAAACATTAAGCCTAACAAAAAAAAACAAAGTTTCTTGATCTATACCTTTGAGAATGTTAATTGTTATTATTCTTTCTATATATATCTTTATGGCATCTTCATCTGTAGATGTTCCTTACTACCTTTTTTATGGACAGAAACAAAACAAGGCAATAGGTCAAAATTAATATTCGATATTTCTTGTAAAATCTATCGTAAGTTTGATTATTCGGTTAAAAATCATTGTTTTATTCGTTTTCAGGAAACAAAAACATTTAGTAATCAATAATCAACTCTTCTTTGTTTGGTATTCTGGAATGGAAGTTTCATATTTAAGCATTTAATGGACTAAACATACTAAAAAACAAATTTTCAACCTTAGACAATTTACTAAATGGTTTCTAATTTCTTTTAGTCGAAAAAGTTATCTTGTATAATAATATTTCGCGATATTTTCGCATGCTCCGAAAGTCTGGCAATTAATGAAAATAAATTCCCACAAATTCGATCAAATTCAGAAACCTATTCGATATTAATTTTATATTTGAGTTATTAACCATGTTGTGAGGAATATAATGTATTTTTGAGAAGTCGAGATAATCCTGTTCTCATATATGTATCTGTAAGTGGACGATCATAAGCGGAATCTGTTCCCTATTCCCTGAGTTATTTAAGCAATCACAGTTCGCCAGTCGATGCTCGTCCGTTGTTGCATTACAAGGGAAAACAAAACTCCTAAACGCTGAGTTATTTTGAATCTGCCGCTTTGTTGTCTAGTTGTGATTTATATGACTCATAGATCCATATACCCTTCTATGATAAGCACATTAAATATAGAAGTTGTGCTGGAGCCACCAATTGTTGTGTGTTTTTTAGATTTATTTATAGAAATCTGCAGCTTACTCCGATGATGCAGAAGTCCTTTAGTTTTATGCGAACTCCATTAGCTTTATAAAGAGATTTTCATTACTTTTAGTTCAGTTATGTATTTCTATTGAAAATATAATTCCTGAATAGCCATTTATTTTTTGTCAAAGGTATACAAAAATGTGAATAATCATTGCGTCTGCTTACAATTGAGTTTTAAAAACTTGCACACTTACAACTAAGTTATTGTATTTTACATGCTTATAGTATGTTCCATTTGATTTGGGATCACTTGATCACTGCCACTGCACCTCGTTGAGCTTCCGTGGATCGATGTTTAGTCCGAGTTTCTCCAACTTGCGTACCTTGCGCATCTGTCTATATAGCTTGCGCTTGAACACGATCTCCCGATTGAGATTCATAATCTCAATGGTGTCGTACTGCCGAATGTTCTTGATCGTCTGCAATATCAGGTTATCCGTCAGATGCAGCTTGATGGTGGACATTTTCATGAAGGGCGCATCCCGGCGTCGCAACTCCTCGCGGTAGGCGTAGAGTGTGTAGTGAAGGGAGGGAAGTTGCGGCAAGGGACGCTCTAGTTGTGGAAATAGTTGCTCGGCCATGGCTAAGGAACTGCTGCTGGTTGTATGAGAATTTTCTTACAACCGTACGCGCTGAGTGTTCGAAAGAAAATGCTTGCGTTCGGGCAGTCATTGTGATTTTTATACTCGTCAGTGCAGGTCTTAGAGTTTCCTAGATTTTCTACCTGCTGCTGCAATCTTTTCTCTGGAAAATTCCACTGACGTTTAATAGGAAGGTTGAGCAGCTGGCGCTACAAAGCAACACCTACCTGTGGCATTGTTTTTCCGGCGTCCTGTCTCTGCATTTATGGCAGCTGCAAAATTTGTTGCATCGCCCAGGGCATGTGATATGTTGGTCCTTGTTTTATTTCGCCTCTCACCTTGTATACGCATGTGTGGATCTAATGCATAATATTTATTAGCCATTGATGAAATTTCCCAAAAGACAACTGTCAGGCAGCTACCTTTTTTATGCTTCGCAATAGGGATTGCAAACTTTAAACTTTCGCTTAGTGGGCATTGAAAAAGGTGCACGAACGCGCAGCACTTACGTATTTAATGAGCTACTGGGTCAGTTTATAAAAATAAACAACATTTTTTTTTGCCAGTGCTTTTTCGGCATTTACGACCTGTTCAAAAAAGTCTTTGGTGTTCTTTGAATTTGATGCCGCGGCGCAATTAAAATAAATTGCATCTGAAATGGAGCAGGCATGGCTCAGCACTGCAATGGTCGGCCCCCACTTTTTTTCAATTCGTGTCTGTGTAGGTGGGCTTATGTGTGGCCCGAAAAAAGGACCACTTGCATTTAATTTCATAGTCAAAGGCTTTAATAGAATTTAATATAATGTGCAAATTGAACGAGTGAAATAGCTTAATACTTTGAAATAGTCTGCACTTATGTGTAAAACAATTATAAACATTTTAAAAAATTAACACCAATATAAAGGCAATTTTGTGTACGACTATTTCTTTTTCGGATTTCGAACTCCGGCAGACAGATAATCACTAATTGGAGATGCATGCCAAATTTGAGTTTAAATCTCCAAGAATTCCAAGCAGTTATGAAAAATCTTTAATAATACATAGTTCTCTGTTTCAATCTTTGCAAGAATATATAATCTTTCATGAGTTGTTGTTCTCTTAGGTTTCCCGCGAACAGGATTAAAAAGGGCATAACCATTAAAAACATTCTAAAAACACAAGAAATCACTTTTTATTGTAATGGTTTCAATAGTGTTTGCATTAATAAAGAAATATCCAGCAGCTCTACTACAATTGACCAAAAATTCATTATCATTCTGTTGTCTTCAGATAAGCAACATTCCTAAACATGTTCTTTCCAAATGTCGAAAGTCGCCAAAAGTAGATATCTATTCGGTTTGTTTGTCATATCTCTAAACATATCAACATAAAAATCTAATAAAATTACTAGAGAAGTACTGAATAGTCAAATAAGTTAATCATTTATCAGTTAAAGTATTTAATTGAGGAATATTTAGTTTGCCAATGATTTAAGATAATTAATTAATTAATAATGGGTAGCTTAAATAAGTGGGTATTATCCGATCCTTATACCCTATCTGTACAAAATTATTAAATTCCATTTTGTAAATAAAATTAATAGCGATTTATTGCAAGTTATATTGATCACTGGAATACAGTTCCTAACCTATATATGTAGAAGTAAATGACTCTAGATATAATAGATATGATCTCTTTTCAAAGTCGAGTGATGGCTTTTGAAAGCAATAATGTTTTTTATTCAGCAATACATAGATTCAGTAAGTAAGCTCGTCTTTCTGCTTAATCCTCCAGTAAATTTCTTTCAGTAAAAAGAGCTTCTTCTGCTTAATCAAAGCATAACTTTTTCCATGACACAAAAAAAAAAAATAATAATAACAACAAAAATTAGAAACAAAAGCTCTGCTATCGTTTATATCCTGTAAAAGGAAGATGCTTGGATTTTATTCAGCCTTTAAAAAACTTTAAACTTTGCTTTGCAACTGAAAACAAATTTTAAGCTTTAACACCCTGGGGCTGCACCGTTAATTGCAAACAAAAAACATAAATCCATAAACAAATTCAAAACACAAAACAAACCCATAGCACATGGTCATGTATTTGTATCTATGTTGAGTGCAAAAGTAATAGTTGAAAATGTTTGCAATTGCCTTTGTCATTTATTTAGTTAACAGCTTGAATTTTAATCTCTTCATATAGTATGTGTTGAATTGTGAACATTATAGGTAAATAAAAAAATAAATATGTATACTTTTAACTTCTATTAGCAATCTATTTGTATTTTAATAATTCTATTTGTATTTTGAATTTGTATTGGCCATATTTGGCAAGCCTGTTGATTTTTTGTATTACATGTTTTGATAAATTACAAATAAAAATTGCATTTGTTATCAATGCGCTGGAGTTAAATTTAAAAATATAATTAATTAGAGACCTGAAATTAAAAGGGGGAAAAGTATGCGCCCTTAATTTAATAAATGATTTACAATTTAATGGCAGTAACTGTCAAAAGTTGTAATTGCTTTTCATATAAGCTCCCACCTATGAACGAGAATGTTGCATATTTATGTTGTTTTGTGTGTGTGTGTGTGTGTGTGTTTGTAGTCACGTACATGAGCAGTAATATGTTTCATTTAATTAACAGAAGCAGCGGCAGATTGGCAAAGAAACCTCGCCTGGCATTTTTATTGTTTGGCATTTTCAATGCGCGTAATTTGCATATCAAATAGTCCTTATTGTTGTTCCGTGGCGCTTCCAACGCTTTTGTGTTTGTGCATGTGTCTGTGTGCTTGTGCGTATGAATGTGTGCGGTAAAAGTCAATATTATTACGGTCAATGCTACGTTCGCGTTCTGAAACAAAAGACGCAGCGGCCCTGAAAACCGCAAAACAGCGGTAAAAATGCTTTCAATTAATTAAACACCAAAAAAGGGACACAACAAGAATGCAGCGCAGTGTAAAGCGGCCACACCATGGAAAATATAGGATTATAGTTAATGAAATCCGTTACTCTTCAATTATTTGATTTATATTCACAATGAATACAGAAAGCAGAAGAAACAGCGACAGGTGTCACCAAATAAATACTCTATGTGCTGAACATAATTTCTCGATTCATTCACATACGTTTTTTCAGCTATGTAGTAAATATATTTCAAATAGCTTTCTATTCTAAAAATCAATAAAGATTTTTCAAATGTATTCCAATAGTATGACTGTCTTACGCGCTATTATGTTAGTTCCCCTTACTAAATGAACAATTTCTCAATTCATGCACATACGTTTTTTCAAATATACAGAAATTTCCAATAGCTTTCAATTCTAAAAATCAATCAATAGTTTTCCATCTATTTTTCCATTTTATATTCGAAAGTACAAATTATTTTCCCCACAATATTCTGAATTGCATACACATTATTGCATATTTTCATTAATCTTTTACGAACAAGCTTATATGTATTACGGTAGTAATTCTTTTTTGTTATATTTGTCTTTAATTTTCTGCCATAGTGCCAATATTTTCGTGTAAAGTTGTGTGTCGGAATTTAATGTGGCATGCAGCTCATTAATAATACAGATTATGTGTTTGGCAATAATGTGAGCCATCAGTTGCTGCCGTGATTAAAACCACTGACGTCATCTGCAGATAAAATAATAAAGTCATTTCGTATCGAGCTTAACAGTCCTCTGTTAACACGCTGTTAACAGCAGGCAGGAAAAGTTCTCAGAGAGAATTTTATGCGCCCATCTGTCACAATGGCAGTAGGAGGAAAAGTTTTCCGACTAAGTCGTTAAATTTTAATGAGTCCGAATGTATGCCACAAATAACAAAGGAAGTCAGAAATAAAAGCGTTTCGTTTATGATATAATAGCGAGCCTTAAACCAGGATGAAAATGTGTCAAATATTGATAACGTAACTATGAAGGTACTATAAATAAATGGAGAACAGAAACCCCCCATAATTATAAGACCAGGAAAAATAATATACATAATAATAAAACATAATTAAGTAGGTTAATTTTTATCATTGTTTTCAATATAAATGAGATTGTTTAACAATAATGCTTAAAATAAACAAATAATTATAAATAGTTTTATGCAGTACTTTCACACTTAATGAAGGGCTGCAGACAAATCTATTATTACTTCCCACAGACTAAATAAATAAAAGTATTAACTGATATCAATAAATAATAAATTCTAATCAAATGCATGCTACTTATTGGAATCTAAATATTCAATGCTAAGCCTTAAGCGAAAACTTTGCAATGTCAGATTATTATTACAAACAGGGGGAAAATGTAGTAACGAAAAATGTAGTAAGGAATGAAGTATTGTTATAGGTCGGAGCTTTCTATACCAAGCCCTAGAATCTTGTTTTAAAGACGTTATTTTAATGTTAGAAATTCTTGATTTTGGACTGTTTTGGTCACTTTTCGATGGAATGCCTTTTGGCTTGCATGTGGGCTTAAGTAATGAATAATTAGCTTGGCATAAAAATTAAGCGCTCTCAATTCGAATTTATTACACACTTGTGTTAAAAAAAATGGGAATTGAAGTCCAATTTAACGTCAAAACCAATCACTAAAGTTAGTGAGTTTTTAGAGACTTAAAATAAAATATTTGCTAAAAATTTTTGCTTTTTTTAAGTTTTTTTGTTTTTTATGTATCTTTATTCTTTATTTAAGATCTGTAATAAGGACAATTATTAAATTATAGGATATCATTGATAGACTAAAAATATATAGGAAATAGTTTCATAGTCAATTGGCGACGTGTTAAAAGTAAAAAATGATCTTCCAGGATACAACTCCTCAGGCTTACATGTGTCGGCCAAATAATCAAAATAGTCTTACAAAATATATGCCAGCAAGAAAAAGTGAACTCATTTTATTTATATATCTTTTAACTTAAAGCTCTTTAACTGTTTTTTTGTGTGTGTGTTTTTTTTTTATATAAAAGCCTTTAACATTAATTACACTCTTCAAATATTAATCATAGCACAAGTACACATAAGCTGA